TTGATTATTATTTATATTATATTATTTAATAATATTCACCAAATACTTAGAAAAGTAAAATTATTTTTGATAATATTAATCGAACATTTGATTGAAATTATAGAAAATCATGACGATCACGATATTATTATCCTTGAATCAAATTAAATTATAAATTACATACAATTTTCAATACAATCTCATATGATATTCTTCATTTAAATTAAAACGAAATATCTGTTAATCTTTCAGAATTGATGGATCTATTAGACCCAATAAATTATAAATCTTTTCAAAAATGTTAAATAGTTTAATTGTCTTTGTATTATATTAGATGTACAACTTTGCTTCCGCCGTTTTCCTATAGATGGCTTTAGCGGTAAGTGGTGGTCGAAATAAATAGATCATAGACGTCATACAATAAACTTGGGCATCTGTCAACATAACCCCATAGAAACATTAGTCGATTTGTGTCTGCATCATAAAGTTATTCTCGATTGAAAATGTCAGTTTACGAGCCAAATTCTCGTCATTTGCGGGAGGTTTTAATTTTTTGCTTCAATATGAAGAAATCTGCGGCTGACGTTCATCGAATGCTCTCAAATACTTATGGTGAGGCCGCTATTAGTGAAAGAACGTGTCGTGAGTGGTTTCAACGCTTCAAGAACGGTGATTTTGACGTCCAAGGTCATGCTCTGTATTTGGTGGGACCAGATCAGCGTAGTGTATTATGAACTGTTAAAACCGACTGAAACAATCACAGGCGATCGGTATCGAACGCAATTGATGCGTTTGAGCCGAGCATTGAAAGACAAACGGCCGCAATACAACGAGAGACACGATAAAGTGATTTTGCAGCATGACAATGCTCGACCCCATGTTGCGAAAGTGGTCAAGATATACTTGGAAACGTTGAAATGGGAAATCCTACTCCACCCGTCGTATTCTCCAGACGTTGCTCCCTCTGACTATCACTTGTTTCGATCAATGGCACACGGCCTGGCTGACCAGCACTTCCAGTCTTATGAAGAAGTAAAAAATTGGATCGATTCGTAGATAGCCTCAAAAGATGACTAGTTTTTTCGACGCGGGATTCGTACGCTACCCGAAAGATGGGAGAAAGTAGTTGGCCAGCGATGGACAACTTTGAATCATAAATGTATAACCAGTTTTTTACAATAAAGCCTCGAATTTCGGAAAAAAAACGGCAGAAGCAAAGTTGTATACCTAATATTTGTACACAAATTTTCATTTTTTTAATTAAAATATATTTAGTATTCATTCTTTTTTATACGAGTTATGTCATTTTAATTCTTTGAAATTAATTAATGCCTTTTAATACAAATTAAATAAATTTAATACAAATAAAAATTTTACGTATCCAATAACTGTATTACAAATTTTGACATCAGTTTCAAGGAATAATTTGATAGTCATTAATTTTCCATTCGGCAAGATATTAATTCTATTACACAAAATTCTTGCCGTTTATGACATAATCAGAGCAATTGTAGTGTAATGATGATATTTTACTCGATATTCTCGTTTTAGATATCTGCAGTTAATGTTTCGCGAGCTATAGAGAACGCGGGAAAATGTTTGGAGATGTTCACACGTCGCCGGAGATGCGAGTCGCTTACAAGCTTGACAAGTGCTCGCCAAGTTTCTCAAAGCGTCTTCGACTAAAACGGGTTTGAATTGTTCCGAGAGTGCGATTAAACTCAATTTGTCATGTACTCGTGCGAAACTGAAAACGCGTTTCGATCTTAGTAGTAGTAGATTTCAGTAGTAGATTCAAACTGTCGAAGCACATTAAAGCAAATTGTAGGAAGTCAATGAATCGTTTCATTCATGATGTATTATTTTATCTTTATTATTCATCAAATTAAAGAATGATAAAATACGGTAAATGGTGACTTGGGACAGCTTATATTTTTGTTAAATTTAATCATAGAATTCATCCATGAATTTCTTAAAACTTAAACTTCCTTTAGAGACTCATGGATGGATACCACGATTAAATTTAACAAAAATACATGCTGTCCCAAGTCACCTACATTTGAAGTAATACATCATACATATCAAGCATATGATCAGAAAGAACAGTTTTGCTGAAATAATATAATTTAAAAATTTAGCTAATTCTGAAAATAATTTTGTTCAAAATCATTAAAATAATTATATAAAACATACATTCGAACTGGTTGTTAAATCGAGAAAATTTTATTGAAATATAATCTGAAAAATTTAGTTATATATGGAAAATAATTTTGTTTGGATTACCAAAATAATTATGTAGGACATTCAAGATGATTATAGAATATTACAACTTTTTGTAATATTATTCTCAACGCTTTAAATATTCTACATAATTATTTTAATAATCCAACAGAATTATTTTTACATTTATATCCAGCTTTTAGATACTTCAATTTTTAGATATTTATAAAGCCGTCTTTTCCCTGTAATAACTTTTCAATAGAGCATTTTTAATTTTGAATTAGAATATTTTAAGGGTAGTGATTAGAGAGAGATAATAAGCAATTTCTATAATTTTATTTTTTTCATTGTATTTTTAATAATTGTATTTTTAAGAGGCCCAATTTTCCATTTTTTTTCTTTAACTTATATTTTTCATAGAAAGATATAATTTTTATATTGTCATTAAGTAAAATGAGGTTAAATCTAAATCATAAATTAATCAGAAAATCGGACTTATATCATAAGACTATATCATAAGTTTTAAAAATTTGATTATTATAATTCTAGTATAAATTGCAATAGTATCTATAAATTTTATTTTTTTTCAAAATTGTGATATTTTTTTTTATATAAGCAAATGAATTACAAATATGATTTGTTTTTTTTTCCAAAAATATATTAGTTTCTTTAGAATCGATTTCTTTTCATATTAGACTTTAGAATCGATTTCTTTCTTATCTCATGAAAATTAATCATTTATTTATACCACTTTTTTATTAATGCAACGACATATTCAGACAAACTGAAAATTTTGAATGCAAAAATTGCGCCAAGTAATACGAATAGATCTAGAGGCGTCTGTAGGTTTCTATTGGTTTCATGTTCTACGGGGTTCACATATCTATCATCAAAACTTTCAGCAGAATCAGCGCAAAGTTCATGGCAAAGCTACCTTGTAGCTACGAAAAGTTAGGTTCTAATTACGTGGCAGAAATTGAAGGAAATATTTCGCGTTTTGCGTTGTTGCGAATCACTTTGACGATATTGAAAACGTGGTATATCATAGAAGATAATTATTAAATGATATCGAATATTAATTTATACATAAATGTCTTTAAAAGAAAGTTGGAATATCGGGAACATTTTCGATAAAATCATTATGGAAGGAGACGCTGAAATATTATTTATTAAACTCGCTAATTATCATGATTCTTCCAGTTCGTTGTAGGAACAAGACCCCCTTTAACATTACGAATAAACGTATTTTGCGTTGTTTCATGACAATAACATTCTTCCAAATTTCGCGAAGTGAGGCAACGTGACAATTCCTGGAACCCAGGCGAAGTTGTAAACAATACCAAAAAAATAACGGCGCGTTCTTGGGAATACGTCTCACTTAATGAAACTCTCGTAGAATTATTTTATTCTTGCTATTTATCAAATTTATTAATTAAAGGAAAGCGAGAATATTTCGTGTTTTGCATTCTTGCGAATCACTTCGACGACGATATTGAGAAAGCGAATATTATAGAAGGTAATTGTTAGTTGAGAGCATATTAATTTATGTATAAACACTTTCGAAAGAAAGCTAGAATATCGAGAATGTCTTCAGTAAACTCGCGGAAAGAGACGCTGAAATATTACTTATTGAACTCACTAATTATCATGGACAATTCTTCCGTCGTTTGTCGTTACTAACGAAGTTCTTTTAGCATTACGATTAAACGTATTTTACATTGTTTCAAACGACAATAACGCTCTGCCGAATTTCACGAAATAAGGCAACGCGAGAATTCTCGGAATCAAGGTGAAGTTGTAAACAACAATAAAAGTAATGGTGCACTCGATAGTAGGGTGCGTTCCATTTAACGCTCGTAACTCTCGTAGAATCATTTTATCTTTGCTGTTCATCAAATGTTAAACAAGAGGTTTGTTCGCGTTGCTTGAAATCTCTAAAAATTTTTTACTACATTTGGGCGTTGAAGAGAATTAAGGAAATGGAATGTGTGCTGAATTCAAAAATGCAAGCAACGCGAATAAACCAGCAAAGGACAAATAATTAATTCTCACGAGCGTTGTGCGACCGACAAGCGAAATATCCAGAGTGAGTCGAGTGTTGCTGGCGATGCGTTTAGGAAGATGGATCGAGATTGAAAACTGTGGAAAAGTTTTACGCCGCTCGAGTAAGACGAACAATAACGGTCGCGTCGACTGGTCGTGCGACGTAGTGCTTACGTCATCATTACTCTGCGTTTCTGGAACAAGCGTGTGACGTAGTCGTAGGCGTAGACCTGCGACTCACAATCAGTCGCGCTATGACCTTCTCGCGTTAAACACGTGATTTTTCCGATCGAGATTGATGTCGCGTGTGTCCGAAGTGTCGTGTCGAATCGCGAACGACGCCATGTAGCATTCGTTCGTCGTGTTCCTGTGTGTGAAAATGTGGAAATAATTACTGCCAGTTGGAATTCGCAATAAGTTGGAGATAGTCGTTTCACCGATAATTCGAGCCATTTTACATGAATATAGAATAGATGTGTTTCTGTAGTATACAGGAAAATAAAAAACGCACATAATTTCGTTCTTATCTACGTTATAGCGCGTTCGGATTTTCGATTGAGATCGACCGAGTTCAGAGCCATTTTGTGATCCTCCTCCGCGCGGCGTGAAGTTGCCCCGCGTCGATCAACTTCAGATTCTTTCGATGGCGTCATACGATCCGATAGACGCTGGCCGGCAGTTCGCGTGTCGTTTTATTCGCTCATTCAAAGTTTCAAAATGCCGTGTATAAACGAATGAGTATCGGGAGTGCCGTACAAAATGCCGAACGTTCGTCTTGCCATGTTGATCAATAGTGCGAAATGATAATTATTCGGTTTTTACTCGGCTTTCGCGAGTGAATATCAATGTGAGTGAATGAACAATAAAGGAGCAGTCGATGGCAAGATAACAGTGATGGATATCAGGTAAATTTTTTTGTTATTTACGCAATTAATTACTCGTTCATTTGCTCATTATTATTTGACGTTCACATCGTGAAATTCATATTTATTATCATATTTATTATATATCATATTTATTATTGGCTTAAACTAAATAATAAATAATTAAATAAAATATACATATATATGTTTTGATGTAGATTATTTCTTTATTCTATTAAAGTTTTTGTTCATTCGCCAATATTATTTCAAATTGTGACATCAGAATTAAAAACATTCGAAAAGAGACAGAGAGAGTTTCACAAATTATATTTAAATAATATTTTAATAAAACATTGTTTATAAATAAATCGCTATTTATAATAAAATAGCTTATAAAATATATTAAAAATTATCTTATTTCGGGAAGAAATAATATTTATTTTTGTATTAATTTGACAGTTTATTATAGCTGTGATCATAGCTTATTTTATTTCTGATTCTGCATAATTCATTTTCAGATATATTTATTAATTCATTTCCAAATGTATTTATTTATTAATTAACGAAAGGAGTATTTTCGATATATTTTATAAATCGATTTTATCGATTATAAATATTGTTTTATTGAAACACATGTTGCTGTATTAATACATTGAGAGAAATGAAATTAAATTTGGTCTTTGTGACTATAATTGCATATTAAAATTGCATATTAAAATAATTATAGTTGGTGAGTTTCATTTTTATGATTATCATTGTAATAATGTTAGTAATAATAATTATATACGATTTTCTCAAACATGAAAAAATTATACTATAAATTATAAATTTCAAATATTAATATGTCATAATATAAATATTAACATAATAGTATAAAATAAAAAATTAAATATGACAATTTAAATACTTATTGATATAATAATAAAAGATCAAGATGTATATAGCAAATAAAATGAATATTTTTATTCAATAAATCAGTGCTGAATGTTGCAAGTAAATTTCAGCACTATGCAATTGCAATTGTAAAGAATACAACTATTTTGCTAAATTTATTATTTACGTATTAATATTAATGTATTAATATTAATAATTAAAAAATATGTTAGGATAAAATTAAAGATTTTCATTTTGTGTGATTATTATTAATAGCATTGACTATATATTTAAAAGGTTAAAGCAACTATAAAAATATCGTTGTCTCAAAAAAAGACTTTAAATTTTCGTTAAATTATGGTAATTGCAAGCTTTTTTTCTCTTAATGTATTATAAGTATTTTTACAAAAATTTTTATTATTGTATATTTTTTCTTCTTACATCACAATCTAAGACAACAGTAATAAGTAAACAGCCTTATTTGATTGCAACTCTTATAAATAAATTTTAAATAAATAATAAATCCTTGAACTCTATTAAATAAATCATAAAATAAAAATTCGAATCACGAAAATAATTAGGTATAATTATGACGAAAGAAATTTTCTAAATATTCTCGACAGCTAACGACCGCGACTTTAAGCGACCGCGTGTATATTCGCGTCGTAACTTTATGACACTGTAATAAATTTCGTCAAAGTTTTCTCTCAATGAGAGGCACCTGTCTCTTCAGACAGCAACGAAAGTCGCGATGAAGTCGTAACGAAACCTGCGGGAAACTCTGAGTTTCGACCGGCAGGTTCGAGCGGCCAAACGAACATTTGCAGCTACTTTCCGCGCGAAAACACTCGCCGTGCAGTATGTATCCTTCATGTGGTGAATCCTACGCGAGGATGAGTCTCGAGGACTCTTCTTCTACCGGGTGCGCATGAAACACGTAATGCCGCAAATGTGTACCGCTTGGCACGGCAGCGTCGTGTGTATGCGACGCCGAACACGGGAAACCACTCAGGCCAGCCCGTTTGGGGTACGTTTGTAGAGACGACCTACTCGTATCTCCTCTCTTCCTCTCTTGCCGCTCCTCCCCCCCTTTTTTCTCTCTTCCTGTCTTCCGGATATGCTTGGATTCGTGTGTGCAGCGTGACGACGGAGGATTGAAATAAAAGAGAACTTCTCTTCCTCGAATTTACGCCGTCGAGTATCTTGGAGTTTACCTCGTTTTGTCCCTTTAACTTCGGCGTAACCGACATCAGGGAACATCTTCGTAGACTCTTTCCCTGCTTTCCCAGCGTATGAAATCGGACTATATGTTGTGCGTGAAATATATCATTATCAGACACGAAAGTTTCCTTGAGATGATATCATTCTTCCTTGCCAATAATATGCTGTAATTTTTATTCGCGAATAAATCTCAATGATTATGTCTCTATATAAAGAAAAAAATATAATATAAATTACATATTACATATATTAGACTAACAACTACAAAAAAAATATATTACATAATATGTAGTTCATTTCAATTAATTAAATCATTTGTTTTTGTATTATGTACTCATTTCATTTCATCATAAAGCGATATACTTTAGAACTTGTAAAAAAATATTTTTCTATCCTTAAAAACATTTTATAATCCAGTTAAATGTAACTTTTAAAGGCCCTAGGAGGTCTCGGGAAAATTCCAACTGGATGTTGTTCTGAGTAAATAGACATATAATTTGAAGGAAATAACGACTTACTTGAATACTTGAAATCTTGCTAAAATTGAACTCGAAATTTGCTCATTTTTTCACATTAATCGGGTTGTATTTCTTAAGGCGTATATTATAGGATTAAATAAATTCGTGTTCAGCGACCAAAAAAACATAACCAGTACCACATTTAAAATTCGGATTAAGCAATTTTTGTATCAAATCAAACATGCATTATATTAAGGAAAATCAAAACTTTGATTTAAAAATTGTTCACTAGCAACCTCTAAATATTAATATTTTTTAATAAAAATTTAGGGGTGGTTCTTTTAGCATGAAATGGAAGCTTTTGAGCTGAGAGGCCGATTAAAAAAAAAATTTTTTTTCTGGTCAGTTTATGTATGTATACAGTACCTATATGTATACAGGATATTCCAAAATAATGCCAAATATTTTATGAGCAGGTAGAGCGGACTAAACTAAAAAAGAGTTCTTAGAGTTCTATAAGAAGAAAATAAACAATATTTGTCTCTTGCAATTTTTCTGTAAAGTTGATAGTATTTGAATAAAAAATTATTGAAGACCAATTTTCGGCATTTTTAATAATTAATATCTTGTTAATTATTACGAAAATTGCAAAATGATAGAGGACTTTTGATTCAGTTTAGTCTCTCTATCTGCCTATGAAATATTTGGTGATATTTTAAGACACCCTGTATAAATATATTTATTTTCTACATTTTATAGTAAAACAGGAGCATGACGATATTAAAATTATTATTATTGAAAATTGATAATTGAATACATATTTTTATCAATTTTATTAATTAAATTACATATTAAATTACATATAAAAAATATAAATATTTTAAATAGTTTTATATTTATAGACATAAAAACTTATTTCTGTGTAAACAATATATTTTCACGATTCTATTTGTAGAAAATTGTGGTTGTATGGTCTCTTAGAATCCCTATCTTTTATTAATTTATAAGTTTACAATATATACTGTTAAAAATATCATGAAATTTAGTATATTTGAAAATTACACAATTTAATTTCATGACATTATAATTACATTACATTAAATTTAATGTATTTGTAACTAAAAAGTATGTTTGTGTACATATATAAAATTTAATGTACTTTTCATACAATTTTATGTGGGTTTACATACAATTTAATGGACACGTTTATTACATTTAAGATCATTGTAACTTAGTTTAAACTATTCATTACCTTTTGATTACGTTATAACCACAAACTTCCGTTACATGTTACTTAAATTCATTACGAAATTTCTAACAATGTATATAGTCTGTGCGCTACTTGGTTCCAATTCATTTTAAGTTTTAAAATTGAGCTTAAAGTTTTCTGGAATTTTAAATAAAGATTTTTGAAAAAATCCGGGAGAGAGAATTCTCAGCGTACTTTTTTTATCAAATTTCAATAAATACTCGACCATCGTCAAATATACTGTTATATTATTATTACTATATTATTACTATATTATTGAAAGTAGTTGACAGAAAGTGACACGTTTGCCTCGAAGTTGATCTTTTTAAAAATAACATTAATCCTACAATATTTTGCACTAATATACCGAGATAACAGGTATTTAATACAGAAGCTGCAATTAGCGAGTGATTTATCTTGTCGAGGAGATGAACGTCGTGATAGTCCGGCTAATTGTCGAGATTTGAAACTCCACGTAACTCAAAGTTTCTGCTAACGTAGTTTCCGCGCGAGTTAAAGGTGTTCTTTTCGTTTTCTGTTCCAGGTATCTTTCGTCTAATGCAGTGGCCTCTCCCGCCCGGCGAACTTTATGAAAACTCCGGTAAGTGTAGCGCGGATTCGCAATTTGCCCTCGTTATAGAATGATACATACCAACAGTTTCGCGCAGACTAATGGCGAAGTGCTTCCTTCGTTTTCGCGCGTCCCCGGAAACTATCGGAAAACTGTTTTGTTTCCATGGAAAATGGAGCCCCGTCGCGATGCATCATGCGCGTTATGCAGGAGACATAGACGAAAGTGGTTTATACAATCCGTGCCGAACTCCGTTATAGGTGACTTTCTTAGGAACGCATTTTTCTCGACTTCCAGTCGATTTTATGCGATCCTCTTTTCATGCGGAAGAAAAATCCTTTTAACTTGAAAAACTTTATAACAGTGATTCCGTACTTTAAGTCGTATAATTTAAAACGCATGATTTAATGTTTGGTAATATAGTAATACTTTGGCAACGATAAATCAGTGAATACGTTACCGTAATAATATAGTTAATGTGATTCATAATCGCTCGAGTATCACTAACACGGAGTTTAAGAGCTCCGGAATAGCTTCTTAGATTAGATTCCTAGGCATGTCGCCAAATTCGCATTCTTGCGCGGCCATTAAACGAAGCTCGGCTGTATAAGGCGCTTCTGATAAAGCCTCGCCACCCGCTTCCCCACTTCCGTCTGCCAAAGGAGCCTTTGGTAATTAAGTCGGGCCCACAGCGACGTCGCTACCATTGTACTGAGCAAATGGGCTGTTTAACCCGGATACATGACTCCATCCCCTGGTTATTGTGCCTGTACCGGCACAATCGATCACCGACCCACATCTCTCGGTCCCTCGATCCTTCTTCTTGATCCTTCTCCTTCATAGGTTTCCCTTTTGCACCAACCAGTAGATCAACTGCTATCTCGTTTTTCGAGATTGCTGTATTTTAATAGACATACAAGGTAAATGTATAAGTTAATGGGCAGTTAACCTCTTCAGATTTGATTTTACAGGAACCATTAGTTAAAAAAATTGTTTTAATTCAATTTATGCGCACTTTAATAAGTAATTTATAAACAATTATTCTTTTTTAAATTTTGACTCTTTTTCCAACGTATATATTATTATGTATATCAGATCTGAGTCTTATAGTGTCGATAAAATCAAATAATTTCAATAGATAATGTCTTCAAATTTGATGTTATATGTCGTAGGCAAAAGGCATATTTCAGGAAAATAGCTTTTGATTCGACAAGTGCTACCTGCCTGATCAAATGACTTTTGCCCGCTTCAAATTTTCTTAGATAAATTATTTTCCTAGATAAATAGCATTTGCCTAAACGCTTTGTAGGAAAATGGGGTTATTTAGATGACGTCCCTCATCTTATAAATTTCAATAAAATTATGCTCATTCGACACGATTTTACATCGAAACGAAAGAATCTGCAGTAAAATGTGCCTAATCCCACAAATCGAGATATTAAACATTAAAATTGACGATTATTAACTAATTAAGTTAGGAAATCTATCATCTCCCTGTTTTAGAAGCGTTGACTTCTATAATTGTACTGTTACACTGGATTTCGACTTTTCATATGAAACAAGTTTTACCTTATCTCTTCCTTGCCAAGGGATATGCGATTTTCCACGCAAAGTAATATCTACCTGTATAAAAATCTGCGTCTTTAGCACGGGGGACGTGAGTGGAGGTCAGAATCCATATGCAACAGTACAATTATAGAAGTCATGCGTGTTCTAATTACTCCATTTTCTTAAAAAGCATTCAGGCAAATACTATTTGCCTAGGAAAATAATATATAACTAGGAAAATAGCATTGAAAATTGGCGAAAGTCATTTGACCAGGTAGATAGCATTTGGCTAGTCAAAAGATATTTTCCTGAAATAACCAATTGCCTATATACATTACAATTAACGTAGGGATGGACATGACTCAACTATTGACAAAAATGACAAAAATTTTAAATATTAAGTAATGAAATATGTATCTATGTTTTTAGATAAATTCATAATTTATAAAACAATTTAATAAAATGAATTTATTTAGTCATTATACACTGATAAAAAAATTTACCAAATCTTTAATGCATATTTTTTTAAATACTACTAACATAAGTAAATATTTATTTACAGTTAATAAATATTTACTCGATGAAAAAATGAATTAAATCAATTTAAATCAAATTAATAATTTTTGTATCAAATAAATATATATGTTTACATTTAGTAAACATTTATTTAGAACTATTCAAATAAATAGTAAATATTAATATTTAAACTTTACTAAGGCCTCGGTAATCTAAATGCTTAGGACGCTCGCCCGGAAAGCAAGAGATCCGGATTCGACTCTCGACCGAGATAATACCATAATTTTTCGCAATAAGAATTAATTATTTACAAATGTTAATATGTCACTCAGCATTATTAAGATCGTTCGAAGATACGAAAAAGCATAAAATTATTAAATTGCTAGTCAATTAACTCATGATATTACTGCGGTAGTTTAGTAGAGTTAGCGTTTCAAAACCAAAAAATCATTGCGGCGCGTTTCAAAGGACTGCATATGTAGTATATAAATTCATACAAAATCATACACTTAAGATCCAGCTAGACTGTTTACAGCATTGATTTCTATAGTTTGTGTTATACGTTTGTGTTATATGTCACACATATACGATTCTATAATATATTATATTGTTAATATTTAAATTTGTTGTCATTTTGTCTAATAATTCATCATATTCATTAATTGATACATTTACCTTAAAAAGTCACGCCGCGATATACATTTTGATAGATTTTGTGAAAGCACTGCGGTACGCTCGTTCGAATCGATTTATTTTCATCTTTAGAAATGCCTGTCGAAGGGAACGTCAAAACAATATCTTTACATAATTCACGAAAAGATATTTTTCTTTACGAATATTTTCTTCGAAGCATATTCTATTCTCCGATCAAATAAAATTCGAAACGAAACTTGTTCAGAACCCCCAGTTTCAATTGTCGTCTAATCGTGTGAAAAGCACAGACATGAGCTTCGCAATATAACACAGTTGAACAGATAAAGGTCGTCGATCTACAAATACGAGCAAACGCCCGAAATTCGATCTGCCGTATACAATAACGTCGATCGACGTACATCTTCCCTTCTTTCAAATATGCGACGGAAGGCAAACGGCCGCGCGGAAACGGAACGAAAATATTGTTTCACGAAGAGACATCTCGGCGACGTTACGCGTCCCACGGAACATATCCGACTCCAGAGTGGAAAATACAGCCGAAACGAATTCGCGAAAATCCTCTCCGGGGAATGGATGTCGGCAGACAAGCGTCCGCCTTCTCTCGGAGTTTTCTGCAAGCGGAGTCTTTGACACTGGAGACACTTTAAAAACGTGCTAGGACTACTTGAGATCGAGTATGCATTCCCGCGGTAATACCTCGCTTGAACGGAAATTCCTTCGTTTTTATTAATGCGGAATTATTTCTCCAGTCGAGAGAGAGTTCACTCCTCTTCGTAAAACCTCGTCGAAAATCACTGCATTCGAGTTGCAGTGATCGAACAAGGTTCTTATTTCGTATATGATTCTCATTATTTCTAGATCTCCAAGTACACTTTAAGAAATATCTATATAATTCTCATTGTGTTAACCTTAGCTATACACACTGAATTTCAGAAATCCCAGTGCAATTTGTTAAATCGAGATTTTTTTCATGTTTTTGAACTTTTCTTTTTCTTTAAACTTATATATATATATTTCGAAACTCCTTAATTCAATCGACTTTTATACATTATGGATTTGTTCCTTAATCGATTCTTCGTCGATTGAAAAAAAATTAATTGAAATATGTCCATTTTTATGGAAGTTAAGATAACAATGAATACGAATGAAGTCCCAGGGATCCGAGTATGTTTATCAACAGTAGAAAAAAGTGTGTATAGTTAGGATTAATATCAATATCAATATGATGTAGATAGATTTAATACCATAGGTTTTAAATCTATATCATGGTATTGATATAAACATTAGTAGATTTAACATCATGGGTTTGAAATCCATATCATGTTGGTGTTAATCAATATGATGAAAATTATATACAACATGGGTGTTTAATCCATACCAGAGAGTGGATTTAATAAAATTAAATCCACTCTGATATTTTTTAGAATATAAATCTGTTATCCAAACACTTGTTCAAAAAATATTTAAATTATATTATAATACATTATACATATATATTATTCCTGGACTTCAAGAGTGACATAACTCAAGTAATTAAATTTTCTCAAGTAATTAAATTTAGAAAAAAGAAAAATTATTTTTAGATTAGGCAGAAAATTATTGATTAATTAATTAATCAATAGATTAATCGGCAAAAAAATCTATCCTTAATCTAATTAAGTGTCTTTTGCCATTTTTGTTTACAATCCTTAAAAATCATTCTTTTTTCGTTGATGATTTTGACAATTTTTTTTAGTTAAATTATTTAAATTTACTTTTAATAATTTGATAAGATTTATTTAACTCATTCATGGTAATAACTCGAAAAATCATATTTTTTTGTGTTATTTTTGAAAGAAGGAGCAATACTAAATTATAAAAATTTTAT